TCAGTTGTACTATATTGATTAACCTAACACCATTAATGAATGGTCCAGACCCTATTTTGGGTGTAATTTTTATCAACTCGAGTTGAGTTGTATATATAATAATTTACTTATGATCATTACACCTTTGAGTGATTAATTAGTGTCTCTTCCATCCTAGGGTGATATAGAAGAGCTAACCTAAAGGTACTTCCAATGACACTGGTTTATCACTCAAATCATTAGTGTGTATGATTGTATATATATAATGTGTATTAATTTTAAGTGCTAACCTCTAGTAGAGGTAGGATTATTGCCTAGTGAGTGCAGAATTTAACCCTAGGCTACTATCAGTGCTTGTTCAGTATTATGAGCAGCCCAAGTACAAGCCCCACAAGGCTTCACCAACGAGCCAGTATGGATAATGCAGGGAGAATGAAAAGAACCCTTGCAGGTCTTAAAGGCCACTTAACAAGACAGATCAAGAAATGTGAAGATTTGTCACAACAATCTCAAGTTGATTATGCTGACCTGGAAAGCTATTATCAAGCAGCTGCAGGTAAATTTGAGCAAATCAAATGCCAAATAGCTGTCCTTGTGGGGACAGACTACTACCATCAATTCATCGGTAGCCCTACTAAATATCAGGGCATAACCATGTTAAAGTCTGCAGGAGGTAAATTACTCTCAGGCCCAGTATCAAGCCTGAGGAGACCTATGCCTGCAGATAAACAATACCAGTAGAGATCTAAATTTGTCAGCTGATTATATTTCTCCAGTAGCATTATACTAAGGAGATTACAGCTGACTATAGTAACAGAGGTTGATGTTAGTATCATCATTTAAAGCTGAAGATGAGTTCATGAGGCCTCAGTGGCAAATCAGTGAACAGTAGCCTAAAACAGCTACAAGTCACTGCGACCAATGTCACTGAACCCACTGCAGTCTCAGAACCATACTTTACTTTAATGATGAGCTATTCAATCTTCTGAATCAATTAACTAAATTAAACCCTAATAAATTTGATGACTGATTTGATACATTTATTATGTAATCAAGATGTATTCCATGGGCCTCAGTGTTTATATATCAGTGACCAGTTACCTGAAGAAACTTCAAGTTATATCTAATGTCACTGATCTCACTGCAGTCCCTGAATCATACTTGACTGTAGTACTTGATCACATCCAGTCTTCTGGGTTAAATAATATGTAATAAGGCTTGAATATTAGCCTTTCAAGAGTTGACAGGGAAATGAAATCGCATTAGACTTCTAAACCCCTGCAACTCTAGTACGGGACATCCGTCCTGTACGAACAGACACACAAATGTGTGATTACTAACTACTAACATCAAATTAATCTAATAATTCGAAGGAGGAGTATCGGTGTTCGTCTGTTCTAATTAGGACTTCGACCCGTGAGCAGCCCCTGGGGAATTATGTCGGAAAATCCGACACCATTTAATAATATACAGACAGATAATAAGTGCTGCTGTATTACCAACAAGTTACCCATAGAAAACGTAACTTGTAGTGGAATTACCGTCTAAAGAAAACGGGATATCATCACCACATACTATTATAATTCACCACCTATTATGGTGGGAATTATTCTTAAATACATTAGTCTTTGGACTTTACCATCATAAAAACATCTTATATAAATTAACTTAATTATCAATATTAAAGTAGAGTAAATGTGACCCTTCTATCACTTTCTGAAATCTGGACAAAGTAGGCCAGGCGTCAGTGGGGAAGGAGGGCAGCTGTTGTTATGAGACCAGAGGCTCACACGGGAGCAAATTCGGCTCCTGTTAAATTTACTTGGACGTAGTGTTATGGAACCCAAAGGTGTACCATTGTCAACACGCTGTCTACAAATACAAGTTAAGTGTCTATCCGAAACCCGTTTATCATTCATTTATGGCCATTAATGTCAGGATATAGGGTTAGCCGGTTAGAACGCGAAATCGCCTCATACTAAAGGTAATTAAGCCAGGTCTTTAATGTTCCATGTACTGTATAGTGTTTTCTCTGATATAGCTTGTCATATATAGGATTCTGGCTTCACAGCTAGCGCACTTTTGACAGGTCAAGACGAGGATGCAAGATTATGTGCACCAGTTACTGGGTGATAGAAGCTACCTCAAAGAGGATAATTTGGTGTCTACACTCTAGTTATACCTGGTGGACTAACCTGCTGTACTATAAGATAAGGAACCTCTTTAATGTATGTAGTTATTTCTGTAGTTTGATTGGCTGCATATATATTAATTTAATAACCCCCCCTAATGTGTAGAGGATCGATTTGTGAGATTAAGAGATTATTGCAGAAATACAGTCCACTTATCATTATACAAATTGCTATCGAAGTATACAAATTAACGTAAATATAAATTCATATAAATTAAATAAATATAAATCTCACAGGTCGGTTCCCACAACACCAACACAGCTGCCGGCTACAACACCAACACAGCTGCAGGCTACAACACGAACACAGCAGCAGCCTACAACACCAACACAGCTGCAGGCTATAACACCAACACAGCTGCAGGCTACAACACCAACACAGCTGCAGGCTATAACACCAACACAGCTGCAGGCTATAACACCAACACAGCTGCAGCCTACAACACCACACACAGCTGCAGGCTACAACACCAACACAGCTGCATGCTACAACACCAACACAGCTGCAGGCTATAACACCAACACAGCTGCAGGCTACAACACCAACACAGCTGCAGGCTACAACACCAACACAGCTGCAGGCTATAACACCAACACAGCTGCAGGCTACAACACCAACACAGCTGCAGGCTATACAACAACACCAACACAGCTGCAGGCTACAACACCAACACAGCTGCAGGCTACAACACCAACACAGCTGCAGGCTAAAACACCAACACAGCTGCAGGCTATAACACCAACACAGCTGCAGGCTACAACACCAACACAGCTGCAGCCTACAACACCAACACAGCTGCAGGCTACAACACCAACACAGCTGCATGCTACAACACCAACACAGCTGCAGCCTACAGCAACAACACAGCTGCAGGCTACAACACAACACAGCTGCAGGCTACAACACACTACACACACAGCTGCAGGCTACAACATTAACACAGCTGCAGGCTACAACACCAACACAGCTGCCGGCTACAACATTAACACAGCTGCAGGCTACAACACCAACACAGCTGCCGGCTACAACACCAACACAGCTGCAGCCTACAACACCAACACAGCTGCAGGCTACAACACCAACACAGCTGCAGGCTACAACACAGCTGCAGGCTACAACACCAACACAGCTGCAGGCTACAACACCAACACAGCTGCAGGCTACAACACAGCTGTAGGCTACAACACAGCTGCAGGCTACAACACAGCTGCAGGCTACAACACCAACACAGCTGCAGGCTACAACACCAACACAGCTGCAGGCTACAACACCAACACAGCTGCAGGCTACAACACAGCTGCAGGCTACAACACCAACACAGCTGCAGCCTACAACACCAACACAGCTGCAGGCTACAACACCAACACAGCTGCAGGCTACAACACCAACACAGCTGCAGCCTACAACACCAACACAGCTGCAGGCTACAACACCAACACAGCTGCAGCCTACAACACCAACACAGCTGCAGGCTACAACACCAACACAGCTGCAGCCTACAACACCAACACAGCTGCAGGCTACAACACCAACACAGCTGCAGGCTACAACACCAACACAGCTGCAGCCTACAACACCAACACAGCTGCAGGCTACACACACCAACACAGCTGCAGCCTACAACAGCCCAACACAGCTGCAGGCTACAACACCAACACAGCTGCAGCCTACAAAACCAACACAGCTGCAGGCTACAACACCAACACAGCTGCCGACTACAACACCAACACAGCTGCCGGCTACAACACCAACACAGCTGCAGGCTACAACACCAACACAGCTGCAGGCTACAACACCAACACAGCTGCAGGCTACACACAGCTGCAGGCTACAACATTAACACAGCTGCAGGCTACAACACCAACACAGCTGCCGGCTACAACACCAACACAGCTGCAGCCTACAACACCAACACAGCTGCAGGCTACAACACCAACACAGCTGCAGGCTACAACACCAACACAGCTGCAGGCTATAACACCAACACAGCTGCAGGCTATAACACCAACACAGCTGCAGGCTACAACACCAACACAGCTGCATGCTACAACACCAACACAGCTGCAGGCTATAACACCAACACAGCTGCAGGCTATAACACCAACACAGCTGCAGGCTACAACACCAACACAGCTGCAGGCTACAACACCAACACAGCTGCCGGCTACAACACCAACACAGCTGCCGGCTACAACACCAACACAGCTGCAGGCTACAACACCAACACAGCTGCAGGCTACAACACCAACACAGCTGCAGGCTATAACACCAACACAGCTGCAGGCTACAACACCAACACAGCTGCATGCTACAACACCAACACAGCTGCAGGCTACAACACCAACACAGCTGCAGGCTACAACACCAACACAGCTGCAGGCTACAACACCAACACAGCTGCAGGCTACAACACCAACACAGCTGCAGGCTACAACACCAACACAGCTGCAGGCTACAACACCAACACAGCTGCAAGCTACAACACCAACACAGCTGCAGGCTACAACACCAACACAGCTGCAGGCTACAACACCAACACAGCTGCAGGCTACAACACCAACACAGCTGCAGGCTACAACACTAACACAGCTGCAGGCTACAACACCAACACAGCTGCAGGCTACAACACAGCTGCAGCCTACAAGACAGCTGCAGGCTACAACACAGCTGCAGGCTACAACACAGCTGCAGCCTACAACACAGCTGCAGGCTACAACACAACACAGCTGCAGCCTACAACACAGCTGCAGGCTACAACACAGCTGCAGGCCTACAACACAGCTGCAGGCTACAACACAGCTGCAGGCTACAACACCAACACAGCTGCAGGCTACAACACAGCTGCAGCCTACAAGACAGCTGCAGGCTACAACACAGCTGCAGCCTACAAGACAGCTGCAGGCTACAACACAGCTGCAGCCTACAAGACAGCTGCAGGCTACAACACAGCTGCAGCCTACAAGACAGCTGCAGGCTACAACACAGCTGCAGCCTACAAGACAGCTGCAGGCTACAACACAGCTGCAGCCTACAAGACAGCTGCAGGCTACAACACAGCTGCAGCCTACAACACAGCTGCAGGCTACAACACAGCTGCAGCCTACAAGACAGCTGCAGGCTACAACACAGCTGCAGCCTACAAGACAGCTGCAGGCTACAACACAGCTGCAGCCTACAAGACAGCTGCAGGCTACAACACAGCTGCAGCCTACAACACAGCTGCAGGCTACAACACAGCTGCAGCCTACAACACAGCTGCAGGCTACAACACAGCTGCAGCCTACAACACAGCTGCAGGCTACAACACAGCTGCAGCCTACAACACCAACACAGCTGCAAGCTACAAGACAGCTGTAGGCTGCAACACGTCCCTCTCTCCCTGTCTAGCCTGTGGAGGGTAGACAGGGGAAGAGGCTTGTGGAGGGTAGACAGGGGGGGAGGGAGGTAGGGTAGACAGAGGGGGAGCGGCTGTTGGAGGGACACACAACTTCTAAGAGCATGCAGTTTGTTACCAGCAACAGAAAACCAACAACCCTGTCACTGGGCATGGATGGAGGAATAAATAACTAGGTACAAGTCGGAATAGAGAGCACCTTTATGGGGGACACGGAAAAGTGTGGACAACCCTGTCACTGGGCATGGATGGAGGAATAAATAACTGGGTACAAGTCGGAATAGAGAGCACCATGGATGGAGGAATAAATAACTGGGTGTCGGAATAGAGAGCACCTTTATGGGGGGAAAAGTGTGGACAACCCTGTCACTGGGCATGGATGGAGGAATAAATAACTAGGTACAAGTCGGAATAGAGAGCACCTTTATGGGGGACACGGGAAAAGTGTGGATAACCTTCTTAGTGGCCGCGTCCACACACTCCTTTAAGGACACACCAATATGGCTGGGATACCAGCAAAACTCCATTGTCTTAAACTTTATGGTGATAAAAAACAGCAAATATTGAATTTCAACTTCCACAGGACAGACATGATTATAGGACTCCAGAGCAATAAGGACACAGTGTCAACTGCAACAACGAAGGAAGATCGACAGCATGAAAGCCTTTTACAAAGAGCATACAAAATAGCATTAAAGTTCTGCCATGAAGATACTAGTCTCTGGAGGCAGGTGATACATATATGTGTTGTCAGGAAAAAAGAGAGTCGCCTACACTGTCTGCAGACTTAGACCCATCGGTGAAGACGGAGATGGAGCAGGAGTGTGAAGAAAAGTGTGCAGGGAAAAGGCACTTCAGAACTGTATGAGAGGTAAAAGCTTTAGTCACGTGGGTCAAGGTTTTGCAAAACTTCGGAAGAGGGACCCTCCACGGGGCAAGGATGGAACGACACAAGGAGAAATATTGGTAACACGAACCAAAATAGAACCTTGCAAGCGAGACAACCATAGAAAGGGGTAGGAGGTGAAAGACAACAGGGCCCACAGGAGAGGTAAGTGTCAAAGTCCGGCACAAGCGAGATTGAGGGTGTTGTAGGGAACACGCAAGGTAGCAAATACAGTAGCTATAACGGCGATCGTGTAGAGACAGGATGCCAGCTTCAACATATAGGCTTAAGGTAGCAGTCGAATGAAAGGCACCAGAGACGAGGTGTAACCCAGCATGGTGCAGAACGTCAAGACGACGAAGAGTAGATGGAGAGGCAGACGAGTAAGCAGAACAACCATAATCAAGTTTAAACATTACGAGAGAGAGAAATGTACAGAGGGGATCGTGCACCTATCCGCTCCCTAAGAAGTACGGGACAAGACCTTAAGTAAGGTAAGAGCTTTAAAGCACTCAACTCGGAGGTAAGAGATATGGGGTGACCAAGACAAACGAGTGTCAAAGATTAATCCCAAAACTTATCAGAATCTTTGTACAAAACGAGATTACCATAAAGCGACAAAGGAAGAAGAGTAACCTGCTTCCGAGTAAAAGTCATAGCACTAGTTATAGTTGTAGAGAACTTAGAACCATCATTGATGGCTCAGGATGACACGGCATCAATTGCAAGTAGAAGCCGCCGTTGGAGGAAAGGCGAATCACCACCCTAACAGCAGAGGGCAAGATCATCAATATAAAAAACTGAGAAAATGCCAGAGGGAAGGTAGGAAAGAAGACCATTGAGGGCAACAAGAAAGAGTAGAGCTCAGAACACTACCTAGAGTTTCACCCTCGTATTGCCGAAAAGAGAGGAAAAAATGAAGGGAGATTACCATGAAGGTTAAAAAAACGGAATTGGGACATAATATCGAATCTCCAGGTGGTGTCATATGCATTTTCCAGGTCAAAAATGACTGCAACGGAGGTCTTCGCAGCAAAAGCAGTATGAATATAGACCTCCAAGTTCACCAAGCCATCAGTCGTGCTGCGACACTTGCGAAAGCCAAATTGAGAATGGGAGACGTGGTGATAGTGGTCTAAGAACCACATCAGATGGACATTGACCATACGTTCAAAGAGTTTGCAGATGCAACTTGTGAGGGCAATAGGGTGGAAGTCCTTAGGGGATGTCCCTAGAGAACCTGGTTTCCGAATAGGAAGAACAACTGCCTCAAGTTAGTCCCTCCAAGAAGGATGGCGACTCCCAGATACAGTTATACAGATTCAGTAAATACTGAAATGTACATGGAGGGGGATGGCGAAGCAAGATGGGCTTACGAATAAGCAAAGGAGGAGGAAGATGAGAACCGGAGCTAACAGTGGAAAAGTAGGAACCCAGCTTGGTCGCCACCGAAACTGGATCCCCCACAATAGAACAACAGAGGTGAAGGACTGGTTAGACATCTGGAAAAACCTTACCTGCTATCATACGGATTTTATTCCAGATCAGGGGCAGAGGAGTGTCAGTTTTAGCGGTGGAGCCATAAGATTTCCAACTCTCACGTTTACCCATAAACCGTCCTCACCTTCTGAAACAAAAGAAAAGAAGCAGCCGTCTGTCGGCGTCGGTGTTTCTACAAGGCTTCACACTTTCAGCGGACAATCCGAGCACAGTCTGTATTCACCAGGGAAAGCACTTCCCCGTGTCTTGGGAGGTAGAGCGAGGAACAGAGCGGAGAGCAGCGTCTAATATGGTGTCATGAAAAAGGAGGAGGGCTCGAGGGAGAGGCAGATCAGAGAGGTCGGAAAGAGTAGCGCTTAAGGTGAATAGATTCCAGTCAGCCTCGGCAAACTGCCACCTACCAGAGTTAGGTGGCGGTTTGCCAAGACTCCTTACCAGAGCACAGGCTCTGGTAAGCACAGGCTCTGGTAAGCACAGGCTCTGGTAAGCACAGGCTCTGGTAAGCACAGGCTCTGGTAAGGAGTCCAACAGGTATTTATGGTCAGGAAGAGAACGTGGGACATTTGGGGGGGGAGACAAATGGAACAGACTGTATACTATTTACTCACAAAGATACGGGCCACAGGACACTGAATGTGCGACTGAAAAAGTAGGGGACGAAGGGAATATCATTACAAATCAAGAGAGCAGTAGAGTTATGGGCTCCAGCAAAAGCTAGAGTGGGGGAGAGAAAGGAATAACTATGGAAGTGACCAGGACGAAAGCCAAGCATCGGCTTCTGGAGACGTACACAAAGCGGTGAAACTGTATTATCAGAAGTTGGCATAAAATGCATGAATATTCCATTGAACAATAGACATTGTCAAGAATAGAGAACATAAACAGAGAACGGGGGATAAAAAAGGCAACGAAGAACACAGTATACCAAGTAAGATCAGGATCAGTGAAATTGGGGTAAAGGGGCATAGGTAAATCTAGCAAAGACGATGGAGTCAAGGGAGCGGTAGGATGGGCCAGAGGTGGACTGAGTCCACAGTGGGAGGAGGCATCGGAGAGTGGCGGTCGAGGGGACGGGGGAAGGGAGGGGGCAGAAAAAGAGGAGCGCTCCTCAACAAGGGCAGCATCCGAGAGAGAATCGAGGATCAAGAAACTTCCATAGCTGGGACAAGGGGCTGGATACAGAGACAGAGTTTGAGTCAGAAGGTGAGGAAGAGAGAGAGAGGCCTTCTTACCCGCCAGGGAGGAGGAAGGAGAGGAGCCAGACTTACGTTTCTGATGGAAAGGGACAGGTGTACCAGCAGCTGTGTACTGGGCGAGAGCCTCGACAGTCTCAACTTGAGAAGGAGAACAGAAGTGGGTAACATGAAAATTGTTAGGAGGAGGAAGGACAGCAGCCTGGAAAGACAGGCATTGTGGAGGACCAAAAGATTGAGGGGAGGGCTGAGAAGAAGGACTGTGTCGAGAAGGGAAAGAGGGCACAGGAGACTGAGAAGACTGGGAAGAAAGGCCGGAAACACCAGACGAAGAACCTTTGAGCAAGATCCTCTAGGTCAGAAAGCAAAGGAGCAGGGGGAGGTGGTGATGGAAGTGTTGGGAACCAAGGCCTGGAAATGGATGCGAAACTGAGAAAGTGGGTGAGGGCGAGGAGAAGTGTAATGCAACACACGAGTATAAGACATGCCAGAGAAAGAGAGAACATGGCACACTTGGCATCTTGTCTGATGAAACGATAAATGATCATGGTTTCAAATTGAGGATGGCTTCCTCAAATTTGTAGTGCATACAAGCGTGGGAGAAGGTAGGGTGGGCAATACCGCAATTAATGCAGTGAGCTTGGTAAAAAAAAAAGGCATTCCTTCTTAGAATGACTCGAGTCAGCACATAAGGTGCAAAGAGACACCTAACTTGTACATTTGAAGGGACAATGCCCAAATTTCCAGCACCTATTGCAAAGGCGTGGAGAGAGTATGTACTCCTGAACGGAGCATCTGGCACCAGCAAGAATTACTGAAGCCAAAGAAACCTACTATCAAAAGTGATCTTCACTATGTGAGGAGGCTGACGACGACGACGACCACGAGGGGGTCGAGTGGACGTAATCAGTAAGGAGGATAGAATGGCTTTGGGCCTCAAGAATATGTTTAATATCCTCGAGGCAGTTTTTGAAGTTCCCTGTCACCAGTTGCAACATGGTGCAGGAGAATAACTGCCAATGCTGGCATTTAACCAGGCCTTTTTGGAGATTCGAATAGGAGTCTCCCCAATGCAGGACAACGAAGCTAAGTAAGTAGTTATCAAAAGAAGGCACCAAGCCGGGAAGACTATGTAGTACCAAACAACGAGGCTAAGTGGGTAGACGCTTTTCAGGAAGGGGCTACAACGACCGGTGTACCAGCACAAGTTGGGTAAAGGTGACAAAAGTATCCACCAAATCAACTAGGTTGAATAAACAAATAAGTAAGTAATTATCAAAAGAAGGCACCAAACTGGGAAGGCTATGTAGCACCATCAAATGTGCAGAATAATCAGAGGGCGCTAAATATCACCAAGGATGCCAATACGAGAACAGAAACGCATAAGGTGAACGATATCAAAAGTATCCGAGTCACCAAGAATTCCATTGAGGGACAGGCGGAAAGCAAGACACACGCTGGTCCTGGAAGTCAGGACATTCAAGAAGGACATGCACGACCGTAAGAGGGACAATGCAATTAGGACAATAAGGAGCAGGGCGGCGCTCCAAGTGACCATGGGTTAAGCGAGTATGGCCAATACGCAACCTCGCCAGAGCTGTTTCCCATCGCCGGTTACGGTGGCAGGAGGACGGCCACGAGGAAACACAACATTTAAGCGTACGAAGTTTGTTACCAGTAACAGACGACCAAGAAGCCTGCCAACGGGTAAGAATGGAGGAATGGATAACCGGGTAAAAGTCGGAATATGGAATACCTTTATGAGAGATGGGACAAGAGCGAACAACTTCCTTGGCGGCAGCATCCGCACGCTCATTGAAAGACACACCAATATGGCTGGGAACCTAACAAAACTCAACCGACTTAAATTTACTGTGGACAAGAAACAGCCAATGCTGGATCTCGACAACTACTGGATGAACCGAATTAAAGGACCCGAGAGCCATGAGGGCACTACGCGAGTCAACAACAACTACACAGGAAGACTGACAACGAGAAAGCAGGAGACAAAGAGCATAGAGAATAGCATAAAGCTCCGCTGTAAAGATCCTAGTCTCCGGAGGTAAGCGACTCATATAAGTGCGATCAGAAAAAACAACAGAGTAGCCAACACCGTCCGCAGACTTAGACCCATCGATGAAGACAGAAACGGAGCGGGAGTGAAAAGAAAAGTGCTCAAGGAAAAGGCGTTTTAGAGCCGTAGGAGGGGTAAAAGCTTTATTGATGGGGGTTAAGGATGTACATAACTGCGGAAGGGGGACTCTCCAAGGGGGCAAAGAAGGAACAACACGAGAAACATTAGAAACACGAACGGAAAGAGAATCCTGTAAGCGAGATAACCGGACAGAAAGAGGGAGGTGGTGAAGAGGAACAGGAACCGCAGGAGGGGTAAAAGTTAAAGCACGACAGAGGCGAGAGGAAGGATGTTGTAAGGGCCACGCAAGATAACGAAGACAGTAGCGATCACGGCGGTCCTGGTGAGACAGGAAGCCAGTGTCAACATACAAGCTAAGGACGGGAGTCGAACGAAATGCACCAGAACTAAGGCGCAACCCAGTATGGTGCAAAGCATCAAGACGTCGAAGAGTAGAAGGAGAAGCAGATGAGTAAGCAGGACAACCATAATCGAGCTTAGACAGGACGAGAGAGGAATGTAAAGCAAGGAGAGTGCGCCTATCCGCTCCCCAAGAAGTATGGGACAATACCCGAAGGAGGGCAAGGGCCTTAGAGCACTCAACACGGAGGTAAGAGATATGGGGAAACCAAGACAAACGAGTGTCAAGGAACAACCCCAAAAGCTTCGCAGAATCTCTGTACTCAGGGGATGACCATAAAGTGACAGAGGGACGAAGAACAACCCGTTTTCTAGTAAAAGACATGGCACAAATCTTAGAAGTAGAGAACTTGAAGCCATGATCGGTGGCCCAAGACAACACAGCATCAATTGCAAGTTGAAGCTGGTGCTGAAGGAGAGGCGAATCATCACCCTGACAGCAAAGGGTTAGATCATCAACATAGAGAGCGGAGAAGACACCTGAAGGAAGAGAGGAAAGAAGACCATTGAGGGCAACCAGAAAAAGAGTAGTGCTCAGAACACTACCCTGGGGCACACCTTCGTATTGCTGAAAAGAGGCAGAGAGAGCGGTACCAAGGCGCACCCGAAAGGAACGACGAGAGAGGAAGCTGCGGAGAAAGAGAGGGAGATGACCACGAAGGCAAAAAGAATGAAGCTGGGATAGGATATGATATCGCCAAGTGGTGTCGTAAGCCTTTTCTAGGTCAAAAAGGACGGCAACAACGGAGGTCTTCGCAGCAAAAGCAGTACGAATATAGACCTCCAAGTTCACCAGGACATCTGTCGTGCTGCGGCACTTGCAGAAACCATATTGAGAAGGGGAGAAGAGGTGATGGTGTTCCAGGAACCACATCAGACGAACGTTAACCATCCGTTCAAAGAGTTTGCAGACACAATTTGTGAGGGCAATAGTTCGAAAATCCTGAGGGGAAGTTCCTAGAGACCCCGGTTTGCGAACAGGGAGGTCAACGGCATCGAGCAAGTCCTCAGGGACTGACAACGACTCCAAAGCAAACTGCCACCTAGGGAAGGAGAGGGAAGGGCGAAAAGAGAAAAAGGAAACAAGGATGGGGAAATGGTCACTGCCATGGAGGTCATCAAGAACCTGCCACGTGAAATCTAAGTAAAGAGAGGAAGAGCAAAGAGAAAGATCAAGACAGGAAAGGGTGTGAGTCCGAGAGTCCAAATGAGTGGGCTCACCAGAATTCAGAAGAGTCAGGGAAGAAGAGAGGATAAACGGCTCAAGAAGGCGACCTCGGGATTTGTCAGAACATAACCCCAAAGAGAATGACGACAATTGAAGTCACCCAGCAGGAGCACGGGCTCCGGCAAGGAGTCCAGGAGGTGCTTCAGATCAGGAAGAGAAAGCGGGACACTCGGGGGGAGATAAATGGAACAAACAGTGTACCATTTCCCCACAAAGATACGAGCAGCAGAACAATAGAGAGGCAAAGGAAACAGTAAGGGGAAAAAGGGAACATCAGTGCGAATCAAGAGAGCAGAAGAATTAGGAGCCCCAGCAACAGCGGGGGGGGGGGGGGGAGAGAGAAAGGAATAGCCACGAAAACGACCAGGACGAGCACCAAGCATCGGCTCCTGGAGACAGACACAATGGAGCGAAAACCGCGAAATCAGAAGTTGGAGTTCTAGGAAATTGGCGGTGCTTCAAGTACCGCCAATTCGAAACCACACCGCACCGAAACTCTCGGTGCTTCAAGTTGAGGACGGTTGCCTCAAGCTTGTAATGGACACACGCACGGGAGAAGGTAGGATGGGCCTCACCGCAGTTGAGGCAACGAGCTCGGGGAGAAGTGCACTCTGACTTGGAGTGCCCTTCGCCACCACACAAAGGACAGAGAGAGACAGTCACAGAGCAGCGGAGGGCACCATGCCCAAACCTCCAGCACTTGTTACAGAGGCGAGGAGAAGGAATGTACTCCTGGACAGATCACCTGGCACCAGCAAGAATGACAGAGGGTGGAAGGGTCCTACCATCAAAGGTAATCTTCACAACCCGGAGGGGTTGACGGCGACTACCACGAGGGGGACAAGTAAACGTGTCCACCTGGAGAATAGAATGGCCCTGGGCAGCAAGGATATGACGAATATCGTCGTGGCAGTCTCGCAGATCCCGAACACCGGTCACAACATGGGGCGGGAAGAGAATAGTGCCAACACAGGCGTTCAACTGAACGTTCTTTGAGACCCGAACAGGGGTCTCGCCAAGGCAGGATAAGGCAGCCAAGCGGGAAGCTGCATCCTGAGAAGGAGCAGCAACGACTCGTGTACCGAGACGAGTGGGGTTGAAAGTAACAGAGGCATCCACGGAATCAACGAGATGTCGATGGAGGGAGAAATCGTCAGGAGGCGCAGAATCAAGAGGGAGATCAAAATATTTGGCCCACGAAGCGGGACCAAACAAAGCTTGATAGGTATCAGAACGGGAAGGAATCGAGCGAGGGTGGCCGTGATGAAGACAGCGGTGAGAACCCCCAGAGAGAGAGGGGGTTAAAAGGCGCAGTGGTTACAACTAGAGATGGAGCCGCGGCAAGGGACAAGGTAGTCACCACTGGGGGCTTGGGGCTCGACCCAACCACAGAGGAGGGAGGGGAGCCGAGGGGAGGAGTCAGAGAGGCCAAAGGAGGAGCAAGGTCGGGGCCCAATGCAGCGGAGGCTACAGAGCCCAGTCTTCCAACACGGACCGACTCGGGGGCTTGGTTGCCCACCCACGAGCCTGAGAAGGTAAAGGGTAAACAGCAGAAACAGT